TCTCGCCTGCCTTGGTTCCTGTCTTCTTCTCCATTTGACTGGACAGGGCCCAGCCAAAGAACCCCTGTCCAGAAATTTCAAAAGTTTGAGTAGATATGCATATGCCAACGTTCTAGATAGAAGCATATGCCCAAACTGTCCTTAAGCTAGTGATTAAACCAATTCATCTAACCCAGCCCACAATATGTCCATGAGTTTGTTCTAATTTAGACCTATTCAAAACACTAGAATGATTAAAATCTGAGATCCGAATCCTTTTTAAAAAAGAGGGAGCTGCAACCTCTTGATCAGGGAGGCTTTAAAAGGCATGGGTAAAGCAAAGATTATTTCCTATCCTTATTCACTTGAAATTACTCAACCACTCCAGAGAAGTTTAAAAAAAAAACCCATATATTCTGAAAAGGGACACTTGAAGTCATGTATTTAATAAGCAATCGTTAAAAGGTAAGCAATTGAAAATGCAATTAACACAGGCAACTATCTATCAGTAGCACTATCTAAGCATCCTATAATTAGAGGACTAATCTATATAAAAGCAGACATTTAAAATTTTAACATCCAAAAGAAAAGATACTGCAAACCACTTTCTTTGCACTATATGTAAACATGTGGAAAAGAAAATAATATACTTTCCCTCGCTATCATACAATGTTATTAAAAGTGAGGCCACATTACCTTAGAGCTGATACCTATTGCAAAGAGTGTTTCATTACCTTTCCTACAGATAAGCAATGCTCCAATCAGACCAGAGTTAAAATCCATTGTCATGTTCTCATGGGAATAATAGGCATAAGTGAGACACGGAAGGTCAGCTTCTCTTGGCCCAGCTTCTTCAGTAATATCCCACTCATATGTGTAGACCTGGCCTGGAAGCACAGCATCATCTCGTTTTTCCACAGCTGATGTTCTGTCATCATACAGGGAACCTGCCAAGGAAAGAGCCATGCAGTAAGATGGCATGGAGAGCAACTACAGTACGTGGAACGTCTTTCTATAATTACTGTGAAAAAAACTTGATCTATTTCTTGCCTATATCCTATTTCAGCTTCATTGGGATGACTCCAGATTCCACTCATGTTGTGAATGAGAAGAATATCAAGAAAGGCATCCATCCCACTCTCCTGTTTCTTGTCTAGCCAAAATTTCTTAGTCAAAATTTATCATTACTTCCAAAAGGTGGGGCTCTTTACTAGCCTGACTGTGGTTAGGATGTCATGAAGCTTCAGCTTCTGCTCACTGATAACTCTGTGGAGGCTGACTACTAACTGCCTACTTGGTCAGCTTTCTGACTACCCCTCATAAAGCCAGACATTGTGCAGGCCCCTGCTGCCTTGTTGCCTTATACTTTTGGTGCACTGCAAATCCAAATGGCAGTAACAACATAGATACTAATCTATGCCTGTGATATCCAACAAAAATGTAGGATCACAAAGATGTCATCATAACTCTAGAAGCAAAAGGCAAATCAACAGAAGAGGCAAATGGAATTGCTTATCACTTCCAATAGCATATGCTCTGTTCAACCCTGTGAAATGAAAAAAATTCCTTTTGTACCCACACAATGAACAAACCCTCGAATAAACACCCTGAAAGTCAGACACCAAAAAAAAAAAAGCCTAAGAAAAAATGTAAATTCCAACTAGTTCTCTAGTTAATTGAAAACAGAAGATACTTTTGCTTCCTAATCCTTCAGAACATTAGTATTTTTTGCACGTTTTTCCAGAATTCAAAACATTTCAAGCAGTTTCATCATCGTCAGGCAGTAATTTGCAAACTGCTGATCAGAGCTCTGGCTCAGGACCTAGGGCAGGGCAATCCACCGACCACAGACCGTCATTCAGACTCACTCTGGGCTGGGGCAGCCATTCAATTTTCAACTTACACGTTATGCTTTCCTGCCACTAGCCTAAATGAGAGCTCCAAGGGCAAAACACCGCAAAGCTGGGAATAAAATGTTGAGTATTAGAATGCCATTATCTACAGTGTCACCTGCCTTTGTCACTAATGCCTTGATGTACACTATTGCAAGGAATTTGGAATTTCTAATCCAACTTTAAGTGTTTATATTTACTAAAATAGAATATTTTGCAACTACAGGATACGTCCTCTGGAAACTTTGTGGATGTTTACTGCAAGATAGTGTCCTGAAGTTCACTTGCTTTGCAAACAGCTAGTCACCTCCTCGTTTCAAAGTTCACAAAGTTGTTAGACCCTCATGCAGTGTACTGATCGGCTCACGGAGGACTTTCTCAGTATTTTCTTCTTCATTTCTACATCAGTACT